GTTGATCGGGCTAGAGTGGCTCTACGGGTTTAGGACGGCCGCCTCGCGTGGCTGACCACTCGTCGACTTGCCTGCGTGTCCGCTCAATCTCTCATCACTCTAGGGAGAGCCAGGCAACACTGTGTTCCTTACCAAGCTGCGGACTTGAGCTTAGCGTGCCAGGCTAGACAGGATCTAGCTATGCAAGTGTTGAGTCATGCTCCGATTTACACGAGCTGGTCGCAGATTATTTGTATATGTCCACGACTCCCATCACGCCCGACCTCTTCCACGAATTTTTCTCGACTTGGCCGGAAAAGCGTCGACGGTTTGTGTTGACATGGGTATTAGTACCGTGGGTGTGCTCGAGGCGGCCCTCGAGGACAAGGAGCTGACCGACGAACTATTGAGAAGGTGTGCAGATGGGGGACCCGACGGAGAGTCCGACACAACCACTATGACGGAGGTAGCTGATGCGAAGTCTGCCAGCTCATCCTCCAAAAGGCCCGGTACTGCCAGCGAAGTCGTCGACGCCAACAAAACCGCGGTGGTGGTGGTGACGGTGTCGTCGTGGTCGAGATATTCTCAAAGCTGAGGAAGGCTCGGTTCAAAGCCATGTTCATTACGGTGGTCAAAAAGATGAAAAACCAATCTGAGCTAACCGTAGGCGACAAAGGGTGGTCGGTCTTCGCTGCTCGCTGTATGCAGGCATTGGGACATATTCCGAGTGACCATCTATGCCCTCCTATCCCTATGGTCGACCGCCTACGGCATGACCCTCTTCAGTATATAGAGCTTAAGGTATACGATACCGGCGCTCGGAATGCCGCCATACCCTTTGAGACCAGGTCGGGTGAGAAGAACCGAACCACTGCCGCCAAGAGCCGCAACCCCAAGGATTGCTTTGAATGGTTGATGTGTGTGCAGCAGTGGGTTGTATGCATCACAGTCTTCTCTGGGTGCGATTTCCTTGCTGGCCAGGATTATCTGAGCCGGTTGCTTTGGTTAGCGAGGTCCCGTTCGTTTGAGGCAGCAGTCGAGTATGATAAGGGTTACAGGTTAGCCTTGCCACAAGGAGTTACCCGCCTGCGGGACACGGACCCTTCTCTCCAAGTCGACTCTGCCCTCGGTACCTACTTGAGATCTAATCAGTCTCACGAGTTGATAGCCGTGGCCTTGGCTAAGCCGGCTGTAAGCCACTCTGGCATACCCAGGCCACCTTCGGGGCAGGGTATACGTAGACAAGGGAGTACTATGCAGTTTGGTGCTGACACTTGTCGTTTCACTCGCCAATCCTGTCCCTTTGGTAGAGATTGCC